TATGTGAAGATTCTCCTATTTTACTCAATTTTCCCCATTATATTAACCAGTCTAGAAGGAAATGCTCTATATCCTGTTGATGATTTGATTATGCACCGAACCTCCATGTTATAATGCTAGTATACACTGCTGTTGAAGAAGGATAATTAATTCGATCACAGTAACTTCCTTGTCAAATATAGAGTTTCCACCAAAAGAAACAAAATGGGTTGGATATTTTCATAGTTATGTTACATTAAAACAAAAATAGATTGTAAGCAACAGTATTGAAGCTGTACTCATTATATGGTGTGCTGTGACATGGTTTTAGTATGTGTCCATAATATTTATAGTGTCGTGTATAATAAATATGCGATCGATTTTTAAGACACGTGCGTTTGTTTTGGCATACGCTGTCGGCTTTGTGAGTAATTGAAAATACAATGATACTGAAATTTGAACCTTGTAAAAGCACTTTGGATTCGATAGAAATTGTTACTTTATAGCCTAACACTTAGATGAGGAAACTACTAGAAATGTCTAGACTAAAGTGAATATAGTTATGTTTTGCAGAGAGAGAGAGAGGGGTGAACAGAGAAAGAAGAATGGGGCAGAGAGAGAAAGAGGATGAGAAAAGAGATAGAGAGAGAGAGAGAGAGAGAGAGAGAGAGAGAGAGAGAGAGAGAGAGGGGGTGGATTATTATGACAGGAAAATCTCACTGTTGTGTACATTTTGTGTGTGTGCGTTTTGAGAGAGAGAGAGAGAGAAGAAAGAGAGAGAGAGGGGGGAGCCGTGGGGTTCTAGCATTTATTTTCTAAATGTACGTCGCTTAAATTCAATACTTATTACAACTTTTTCGTTCTTAAACCCCCTGTAAGGCTGTAGAACCGTTAGTGGGGGAGGTGGAGATATATCTGGTGATAATCTGGTCAATATGAATATAGATATGATTGTGATGATATTAAACTCCCGTGCAGTGTACGATGACCAATGGGACGATCATACAGCACACCTGCGCCTTGGTTGACACCTCCGATGTGTGGCAGGATGGAATTAGAAAATTAAAGCCATGCATCACCACAATGTCATCTGTGCTTTATCATGGCAACCTAAATACTAGGCATTATCACTATAGTCATCTTAGAGCTAGAAGGACATTAACTAGTGTTCGAAATGTTTGGGTTATTGCCATTTCGGCTCTCGGTAGATAATGTACAATGTTTATATCGTCATCTGTGATCTATCACAGCAACCAGGGAGGTGATAAAAGTCCTTGGACAGACCGTCTTCCAGTGTATGAATGTGTCAATCTGTTTTGATCGATGTGGATGTGAGTAGCCTTTGTACGTTTGAAGTCTCCAATATGAACATGATGAATGCAAAGTGATTCATGGGCAGTCGGAAGATGTGGTGTAGCACTAATCGTTACGAAATTACAGAGCTCTATTCAAGTTGTTTAACAAAAGCAGTAAAAGCACTAAGCAGTGTAGTATGAGATGATTATCCTATTATGAGCTCAAGAGCATTAAACTGCATATGCATAATTTCAGATAATATTCTGTCGTAATTAACTCCATATCTTGTCTTACTGAATAAAAACGAGCACACTTTACCTTTAAACTAGAAATGATGCCTAATGATGCGTCTACCCCCTTAGTGGTGGTATAGCAAACATCACCCAGCATGAGCTCGCCCAGCTAAGTATTCGACCAGCCTCCGACGTATCCAATGTCATTGGCAGCGCTGTCATTTTCATTAACAATGATAACAGTTCTGGGTCTCGTTTGCTGTCTTAATGATGCCATAATTTATTGAGTCGTCATGCTTGGGCGTTTCAGCTGTGCTGTTTGCTAGAATACCAATTAATGAATGATACAGGTTCTATCTGCGGACAACGAAAGGCTACGCCGCCGAGAGACTGAAATTGATATATTTCATGCTGATTATGAATTTCGGTCCGATGCTGCTCTTAAATAACGGTAATAAACAGGAACACTTTTATATTGTTTCCTTGTTCTAACTTCTATTTCACTTTGGAAAGATAATGAGATCGGCTACTTGAATCCGGGTATATCCTATGGTGTGGATCACATTACTATTCCCTTGGGAAGTGAAGTTAAAGTGGTGTAGAAATTAATTATTGTATACGCTGATGAAATATGATTTTCAAAAAGATGTTAGGAAGAGTGAAATATTAAATAAAGAATATAGGAAGAAGCAAGCAGTAGACATTGATAGAATACAAGGTGATTGGCGATAGGATGGGTAGGATACACCATTGTCATGAGATTTATGACTTTAAATAAAAATAAGAAGTAGTTTAACGAATGATAGGGCCTTTTAGAGCGTGGGTTCCTCTCGCGGAGACGAAAATATTTGGTGTTTGATATGACGTTTTGAAGATACTCCCCGGTTATTCAAACGACATGTTCGACTCCCTCATGTCAATTGAACTAAACAATATCTACCCTTTACTTAACACTAGGGAGTGGGTGGATAATAAAACAAAAGATATTGTGTGATACTGTAATCAAAGTTTCTAGGTCATTAAACTATTGTATACGAAGTCAAAGAGGCGCGCCATAGAAAAGATAAAGGTGTATTGGAGTCGCTGAGTAAACGTTGAATGATCTGCTGAACATAGCCTTATGACGTAGGAAAGGATATTCTAATCTGGATAATGATTATGGCACTTTGTATAGGTATACAATGTTTACTTACATCGAGGTCCTACCTGGGGGAGTACGCAATATAATTATAAATAGACAAATAAACATCCATGATAACGGGCCTTGGAAGTCAGAAAGACGAGTGCCCTGTTTAGGCCCAAAGAGTGATTGATCCGGACTGAAGACAAGTCGTCCAGTCAGTCGCAAACGAACAAACTCATATCTCTTTAGCAAAGACCTACGATTGATATCAAATTGTGTTCTATTTGAATCAATCAATAAAGTCAAGGCCCATGAATATCACACTATAGGGCAATAGTTGTACATACTTGTGGGGTTACTATAGGATTTCTTTTGTATCCGTTATCAATGATGTCAATGTTCACCGTGTTCTCATGTACAGCCTAACATCACTCGTCTCTCATCCAATTTGCAAGTTTCATGTCTTTTGTTTACAACGACGATGCGGCAAAGCTGAGAAATGTCTCAGTATATTCTTTTTCTGTTCAGTGTTATTTTAGCATTCTGAAATTTATAGCATTACCGTCGAAGATTTTGTAGACATTTTGGCTCTATTTTATCATCTTAGCTTCTGGATAAACGTTGCATTAACATGACATGACAAATCTCATCAATTGATTAGCGAATGTATGTTTACTACTGGTAATTACAAATCAACATTCCAAGTAGCCTTCCATTCGCAAACTATTACATAATCTGCATTCCTGTGTTTCCCGAGTTTCCCGAAAAACACAATAAAGTGGTAATTTAGCAGAAAACGTCAGTGTTTCGGCATTACGCAGGAATGTCAAGATGGCGGGTTGCAACATTTTCCCCAAAGTTTACAGGTAAATGAACAAATTGTGTTTACTTGTTGTTTTTGTAAACCAATCGAGTACAAACAAAGAGTAGACATGGTGAAAATCAAAGCGGTATTTGGAGACAACGCGAACGAATAAACTTCGAAGGGTATGCCGAGATCAGGCAACTATAATCCATTCGATGTTTACCATGTTTATATCGTTTTATATTAACTCAAATAGTAGGTGTCATTGTTTTGTAGATCTGTTAATAAACCTTACAAGGGTCTTACAAAACACAAATAGTCCCGAGAGGTTGAGAGTAAAACGGAATATCTCGTTAAATCGACATCGCTACGTTAAAAGGTAATACAAAGTTTGGGGAAATTTTGAAAATTGGCTGGATAGTGATTCTTTACAATTTTGATATATCTGGATGCCCCTGTGGATGTATTATAATCACTAGAAAATTTAGCACCTAAAACACTAGATGACAGACAGTATAGATGTCATGAAACTGAAAGATACATATGAATAGATTCATTGTCGAACTGGATAATTCGTTAGATGAGCTTTTTCAAGTGTTCATAACCTAACTATTAAACATCCTCTAAACTCATACGAGTCTCAATTCCCATTTTAAAATAAGTTTGCGGTATTCAGTTTCGTTAGCAATAGTCGTCTATTTACCACAACATTTTTTGTTTCCAAAATAAATTACTTTCGATTGTACAACACGTGCTTCGGCGAAGATAACTCCGTTGTCAACTTCGAAATTTCAAACTTGAACTTTCAAACTTGAACTGTGGACACAAGTCACCCAGCACTATTTAAACATACTCTTATATTAACCCGTTAACTACTGAATTAATTGATTGCCATAGGCTTAATACAGGGGCCACCAGGTTCCAGTAGGCAATGGGTTAAAGTATAAATCTAACCTGAAACAAAATCGCAAGTCTTGACCTGATCACCATCATGACCATATTTTTTTACCATATCTGAAGTTCTGAATCAATCACATCTGTTTACAGCGGATGTCAGCGACTTTTTCTTGATGACCAACAATCTTTATTTGCCCTTTGTGATGAGGAAATGTAGAACAGTTTGCCATGATCAGATCTTGCTTCAAAACAACACAAGTGGCATTACAGCAGGAATTACATAACAATCTTGTCATGCTTGAGTGTGTAATCCTCATCATCATCATCATGACACATTGATGTCGGTGATTACTTTCCAATGGGGTTTAACGTTTCGCGGAAAATCAACTATGCCTTGGGTGATTCACTTAAGGAGATGCATCTGAACAAGAAGTCATTATTTTCTCTTCTCTGTCTAGCTCTGATTCATGCACGGACTTATAAATTGCAATTATAACCCTTGTAATAACTTCATTCACTTGGAAGCAAAAAATCTCAAATTGGCAATTTGGTCGGTTCTCTATGCTTTCACTGACTTTTAAACAAGTTACGATTAGAAACCGAAAAGGGAGGGCATTTCACACCCATGAATACAAAATGCTTTTGTCCCTGTTCTTTGGAAGCTGCACACAATTATAAACACATGGATTCACTATTAAATTTTTTCTCTCTCTCTCTCTTTCGATTACCTGCAGGCGAAGATGTTTCATTCAAGCTTCTTGTTGACGAAGAGATCGAAGACACAGAGACCTTCCAGTTGGAGTTCGTTGAAACCGACAAGTACGCCATCAGGGTATGTGACCCCAAGAAGAACTCCAGAGATGCTAAGTTCTGGAAGACCGTCGCTGCTGGTATCCAGGCTAACGGCAACTCAAAGTAAGTAAAAATGCTCTTTGGAGGTGTAGCTAGATCATTTTAAATGGGGAAAGTGGTGGTGGACCAAATTTGCTGTCAAATTCGGCCCGAAATTACCAACTGGTAAAAGTAAGGGTCATTTTTTAGATGTAGCAACAAAGCTAAAAGAAAAGAAAAAACCAAAACGGGTATGCATGTTACTAAGTTACTTTCATCTTAATTTGTTAGCTACAATTGCCTGAAAACGTGAGCTGTATCTTTCTCGAGAAAGCACAGAAAGAAAGTTTCAGAAGTGTTTTTTATCGCAAGTATAAACATAATAATATATTACTGTCTTTTCTTTAATCTAGGGACCAGGCGGACTGTCAATTCTCTGTCGAATACAACGGCAAGCACATGCATGTGCGTGCTCCAGGAGGCAAGTATGTTAGTGTCCGTGACAACGGCCATCTCTTCCTTCAGGATTCACCCAAAGACTTCATCTTCCGTCTGCTCAACCGACCCAAGCTGGTTCTCAAGTGCCCTCATGGATTCGTGGGCATGAAGGAGGGCAAGGCTGAGGTCGCCTGCAACCGATCAAACTTTGATGTCTTCACTGTCACCTACAAGGAAGGCGGATACACTATCCAAGGTTGGTTCACATTTATTTTCTTATTTTCTTTTTTTAAGGAGCCAGGATTTATCTAGGCAATACGAGAGTTGGTGTCAACATTATTTTCTTTCTCAACATGCTTGTTGATATCAAGATGTATGCCTTGTTCTTGAAGGTTGTACCAATTTGTTGATTTGGGATTGGAGTCCTCAACACCATTCTGACAACTTCCTATATCTTGAATCGTGCTACAGAGATGCATAATGGTGTGATTTTCCTTTTTAAAATTGTCTGGCCATTATTTTCAGTTCTTTTTCGTTTCTAAAACCAAGCAATCATTGCAACTGAATCTCACAGTTACATTTACCCTCTACATTCACGAGCATTTTTTCTTTTTTCCCAACTCCATTAACATTCACTCCCGTTTGATAATGTATATTTTTTCTTACGTTTCAAATTGACTATTCAGACTCCTGTGGCAAGTACTGGTCTTGTGATGACAGTAGCCGCATCGTTCTTGGAGAGGCAGCAGGTACTTTCTTCTTCGAGTTCCATGAGCTCTCCAAGTTTGCTATCCGAGCAGAAAGCAACGGCATGTTGATCAAGGGCGAGCAGAGTGGCTTGTTTACCGCCAATGGTTCCGAGGTCTCAAAGGACACACTGTGGGAATTCTAAACAAATTGGGCTTGAAAGAAGCCAAATCCAAATCAGAAGTAGAGTAGCTGACAAGCCAGCCACTCTATCTATTATATCAATTGCAAATATTGTACATTTTTTTAATACAAAAATATTTTCAAAGGTGCATAATAATTATTTCATACTCTGGTGGGATCTTTAGGATCATATTTTCTCATTGCCTTGGCATACTGACTTCCATTATCCCTCATTTTTAAAAGGTAAATTGATCACTTAATATCAACAGAAAGGAAATGGAAGTAGGTCTCTGGAAATTTAGAAGAATAGATGACTATCCAGTATCTTCAAATATTTGCTGTACCTGTCTCAAAAAAACCCATAAAAAACCCTCTGTTTTGTGCTGTCTTATAGCCATAAATAGAGATCAATTCTGGTGGTATATGCTACTTAAAATCAGGCTTGAAAATAGAATAAATGGAATGGAATGGATTTTCAAAAAGATTTGGAATGATAAATTCGCAGCCAGTGTCCGTGACAACTCTTGCATACCAGAAGCACTGAACAGTCTCTGCCGCACCGCTCGCCCAGGTGTATTGATGTGACTGTACTTTTGAACAATAAAACAGATCTTTTCGTCAAGTTTGGATATAAAAGTGGATTGAAATGCACGAATAGATTCGACTTGTATAGGGCATGGTGGACATTAATTTTACAGATACTTTTAATATACCGGTAAAAATCAATCATATAGAAAATGAAAACAGGGTGTAATATCTCAAATACCATTCATGAAGATCATGCAAAATGCAGATTGTGATTTAATATTGGCAATAGCTGTTTGGATTGTGATAGAAATTACAAATAGCAGGTTTTTTGTACACATTATATATTGATATACCATGGATATATCAATACTTTTTTATTGTCACATTGCACTCTTGTCTGTTCTGTTGATAATGGAACATACATTTTGATTCCGAACAAAAACTTGCTATGCACATTTATGATTGTATAGTAAATGAATGATGAGTGTATTATCTCAGAAGGTATATAATTCCTGTTGTATGTGATGAGTGTGTTTTTGGCATAAGCATATAAAGGACTGCTTGCTTCTTTCAAATGTAACATTTGCATTCCAAAATGATTCTCAAAGTTCATGAAAATTACTAAATATCACTTACATTGTCAATTCACTGGGATTTCAGTGGTTTACAACATGAGTAGTTCAGTGTTAACATTTTATTATTTTTTCCAACATGCACTTGATATCATTTTCCTTCATAATAATCATTGTACGTTTGGACTCAAACATACCATATCCAGCGAAAGATAAACGTGGACTATACCTCCCTCTATATGCCTTTGAAATTTCCCTCACGTTGTGCTTGTGTGAGTTATATATCCCCTATACCCCATCCTATCTTGTACATATTTTGAAATTCACATTCCTAAAAAAAAAGAAAAACACACACACTGGAAGAGAAACTCATATTGGAAATGGTGGTCGAAAGTGGGCTCTTGTTGGTTGGAAGAATGACATATACCCGCACAGACAGCACGACTCAATGACGATTCCTTTCAGCTTCCAAAGGATCTATTTTGATATATATATTGCTTATAAATAAGGCAAAGCAACTTTGAAATGACAAGGCAGTTGTTATTACATAACATTGTACTCGTTTGTAACTTCTCTGCAGCTTTATTGATTGTACATGTGAGCGTTATACATTTTCATATGAAGACATCATGCACGCCGTCATTAGAAAGTAACATCATTCCAACTTTATTATCCATTTAAAATGTGTATCCATTCTGTTCTCTTTTTTTAAAGTTCTGGTTTTTATTTTTTGGTCTTTCAAATGTGTACTACGCCTGTAAATATTCGATTGTTTTTGCTATGACGTAACATTAATTTATGTATCATAATGATGAAGAAACTGGAATTATTTCTGCATCATTTTTAATGGCGTAGCAATAATGTAACTTAAAGGCGTCGCGTAGAATTTTAGTATTATTGTCTTGTCTCCATAGGTGCACGCAATGCTTGCAGACACTAAATAATTTGGCCTAGTTGAGACACAAAAAGATACTATTTACTACTAAAAGAGATTGGAAGATTAGAACCGTAAAATCGTAATTTTTTAATGAATATTATTATGTCTAGGTTGCGACGTGGTTTCCGACTGTTTGCTTAAGGAATCGTTGAAAATTATGTTGTTCCCTCCTGTTTCGAAATGGCTTCTCATATATTGTTTTTTTTTATATAGATATTTCGTTTGCGTATATAGAAGAGCACTATATAGCAATATTATTATTATTATTGTATCATAACATTTTTTCTTAAGGTGTAATAGCACTGCTAAATCTTTGACTAACTTTCTTTTTTCTAACACTTTTGGAATCTGTCGTTGTCATTCGTTGGATGTGACGGCGTTTCCTTAATCAGCTATGCACTGTCAAAATAAAAATGTAGGTATTGATTATTAGATGAAATCACTAAAACTAAGTTACACGTATTTTACCAATAATGTACACGCTTAAATGCTAGAGTACGCCGGTTATTTTAACAGGGTATATGCATAGCGCACGGTCGTGAACTTGTAAAGAGGTTGATGATACATATAAACATTGCTAAGGTTGAAGAAAAAAAGTATGGTTTATTGCATGTAATAAACGGCCTTATAAATGGGAAATCGTATATGATTTCGTATCTTATTTGTGCGTGGAGAGTATCGAGCTTTGAGTCTGAATGTTCACTGGTAAAAGGTTGATGTTGTGCGTCAAGAGTGGTATGATATTAGGGACTTTTAGATTCTGCACGACGAGAACGCAGACTGCCCTTTTAAGGCAACGTGACGTCCTTTTAAGGCACTGGCAGTGACGTCACATTGCCTTAAAAGGGCAGTCTGCGTTCTCGTCGTGCAGAATCTAAAAGTCCATATTGATGGAGCGAAGGAAGACATCCCCATATATTGCAATAATGCAGAATTGTCTGCCCCAAACAGAAAATCTATTCGTTTCAGACACCTTTCTTTCATTGCAATCGATGTGTTGGATACAGAGATGGGTGGGGTAGAAGAGGGGGGGGGGGGCTGTAGATGAGATAGTTATAGAAAGAGAAAGGGAGAGAGAGAGAGAGAGAGAGAGAGAGAGCGAGAGAGAGAGAGAGAGGGGGGAAAAAGGAAAGAGGCGGATAGTGCCTTTTTTGGAGAGGGTGGGGCGCGATGGGAGAAAGAGGGAGGCAAGACATATGTTTATTCAGTTTTAGTTGTGAGAATAATAAATGTCTGTTTTGTTAGTGCCAAAACATAACAAAACCAAATTGGCAAAGTGAGCAGAGAGAGAGAGAGAGAGAGTAAGAGAGAGGGAGAGAGAGAGAGAGAGAGAGAGAGAGAGAGAGAGAGAGAGAGCCAGAAGATGGTGATGTATCCTTTGTTTGTTTGGTAGGTTGGGAAAAAATTAATTCCCCCTTTTCCTCGTTAAAACTTTTGGCATCATAATGAGAAAAAAAATAAAAAGTCCAATTGTGTAGTAGGTTATGAATTAAATTTGATAGTCTTATCTTGATATCAATAAGTATTGAATGGCAAAAAAAAAGAAAAAAGAAAAGAGGTGAGAGATGAAGGAAAAGGAAAAAGAACGTAAGATAATATAAGGAGATAGATTCACAAGCGATGGGGAGGGGGTATTCTCTGTTGTCATTAAAAATCATCATCACTATCATTACAAACACTAATCACTAATAGTCAGTTTCTGTTTACCGTTTCTGTTTACAGTTTCTGTTTACTCAACATCAAATCAAGTGGTGATTTTTCTTTATCATAATGTTTTGTAAGAGGACGATTATCGAAAACTGGTTCCCCCCTCTCGCGCGAAGCGCAGAAGCTTTTAATTTTCATTTAATCATTAGAGGAAGAAGACGATTCGTTGTCGAGTTCTCGACTTTGAATTTAGGTTCCCCCCTCCTGCGCGAAGCGCGGAAGCTTTTAATTTTCCTTAAATCATTAGAGAAAGAAGACGATTCGTTGTACAGTTCTCGACTCTTAATCCTTGTCTAAATTCAGTCTCCCCCCTCCCCCTCCCGCGCGAAGCGCGGAAGCTTTTAAATTTCCTTAAATCATTAGAGAAAGACGACGATTCGTTGTACAGTTCTCGACTCTTAATCCTCGTCTGGATTCAGGTTCCCCCCTCTCGCGTGAAGCGCGGAAGCTTTTAATTTTCATTAAATTATAAGAGAAAGAAGACGACTCGTTGTACCGTTCTTGAAAATAGGTTCCCCCCCCCCCCTGGCTACGCGCCTGCGGTCAGATAAACACATTTTGATACCTTGTCTAACCCCGCAAGCTCAGGGGTTTAAAGCAATAAATTACGGTCAGATAAGCATTCAGGGCCCCTGGTGGGGTCGAGGCGGCGGAGCCGGCCCCGGAAACTCAGGGGTTTTAGGCGTTTAATTAAGGTCAGATGAGCATTTTTTTGTATACCTTATTATTTTGTGACACTGGCAGGTCACTATTTGGCATGGGGTCCAGGGGGCGGAGCCGCCAAAAATCAAGGGTTTTAGGCATTAAATTACCGTCAGATGAGCATCTAAGGGCCCGTCGTAGGGCCCTAGGTGGAATCCAGGGGGCAGAGCCCCAGGGAGCTTAGGGATTTTAGGCATTAATCACGGTCAGATGAGCATAATTTTGATGCCTCATTATTTTTTAACACTGGCAGTTTACTATCCTTTCTTTCTTGCTCTCATTCTATTTTATTTCTCTTTAATATACTTTTTTCAAAAAAGTGGGGGGGGGGGGGGGGGAGCTCGGGGGTCCCGATCCCCGCCGTAACTCGGGCCCTGACATGTAGGAATCTCAAGAATCATATTTCTTGCCTGGCTGTAAATTTAGGAATTTGTCATTTTCCAAAAAACACATACAAACGTATAATTTACCAAAAAGTGAGGAAAAATCTCGGATATTATGTCATTTCAGCATTATTTGTAATCCACCGTTGTGTAATTAGAAATAAACCACGTTTGAATTTGAATTCCCCCAAGCCCCCCCCCTCCCCTATCAGTACGCCAGGGGGTCAACAGCCTGGGAGGCAAGGCCCTTTCGCCCCCCCCCCCCCCCGATCTCCTTCTTCCCCCTTTTCTTTTATTCTTCCTCTTCTTTCTTTCCCTTTCTCTCCTCTTTCCCTTTCCCTTTCCCTTCTTTTCCTTTCTTCTCTCTCTTTTTTTTTTTTTTTTTTTTTTTGCGGGGGGGGGGGGGGCCAAGGCCCGCTCGGCCCCCCCTGGATCCGCGCCTGGTCCCCTCCCCTGGCCCCCAAAACAGGCAAATTCAACCTTTTTTAAAATAAAAAATAAGACGGCCCCCTCCCCCTGTGATCCTTACCCCTCTCCCCCCCCCCCTCCCCCGCTTATTCGCCGGCTGGCTGATACGGCGCTAAATATTTTCTCACGAATTTGGGAAGAAAAAAATAGTGCTCCTTACCCATCCCACTTATTCGCCGGCTGGCAGACTCTGCGCTAAATATTTGTTCTCGAATTTGGAAGAAGAAAAACAAATTGGTGCTCTTTACCCCCTCCCCCCCCCCGCTTATTCCCCGCTAAACATTTTCTCACGAATTGGGCCCCCTATTTGGCCCCCTTAGCGCCGGCTGGATCCGCCCCTGCCCCAATATATATATATATATATATATATATATATATATATATAACTTTGGGTATTTTGATAAGCAAAGAACATTTCAGAGATAGTAACGTTTATTTTTCCTCGCTCACAATGTAGAAACGGGATAGTTTCAGGCAGCGGTCGAGGTCTATGAATATCCCCAAATGATGATATGACCATATTCGGGCACCTCAATGCTCGAATATCGACAGGATTCGGGCAGCGTTCCGCTCGAATAACCTTATTTATTGTATTTTTTTTAATATCGAAATTCACTTTACTTCTCGCAAAATTGACATATTGGGGTGCTTCCTGGAAACAAGAGACGGAATACATAATTTTACGAGGACATTTTTTTTTTTTTTTGGTTTCGAAATTTGAAAAATTGACATTTTGCCCCATGGGGGGGGGGGGGGGTAAGGTTAACTTTTTTAGGTCAGCCATAGGTATAATTTTTATTTATTTTTTAATTTATTTTTTATGATAAAAATTAAACAAATTAAAAAAAAATTACCAAAGGGGGGGGGGGGGGGGTTCAACCCAACCCCCCCCCCCTGCGTACGCGCCTGGGGACACCTAATATCTGAAGTGAGGAGGAGTAACTTTTCTTACCTGAAAAAAAGGTCATTTACCAGATAAGGGGCACTTATGAGAAGGGGAAGGGGCTCTTTTTAATGGGGCACTTATCATTTAGAAAAGGGGCACTTATTTGAAAGGAAAAGGGGCACATGTGAAAACCGGGTTAAAATGGGGGTAGTTATTAAAAGGGGGACAAGGGGCACTTGTCAAAGTAAAATAGGCACCTCTCAGATTTGAATAGGGCAATTATCAGAGGTGAAGGGGGCACTAATCAAAAGTGAAAAGAGGCTCTTCTCGTCCCTGAAAAGGGGCACTTACTAGAGATTAAAAAGGGCACTTATGAGAAAGAAAAATGGACACTTACTGCAAAACCAAAATAAAAAAGGGAACTTGTCGAAGGAAAAAGGGCACACGTCCAAATAAAAGGGGCACTTATCACAGTTGAAAAGGGAAAGAGGCACTTTTACAAATTAATAGGACACTTGTCATACTAAATGGGGCACTATTCCTATGTAAAAAGTGGCAAGTTCTTACAAAATTAAAGGGGCACTTTTCGGGTGATTGAAAACGTGGGGGGGGGGCACTAACCAGGCGCGTACGCAGGGGGGGAGGGGGGGGTGGGGGGGTTTGGGGGTTGAACCCCCCATGGTATTTTTATGTGTGTATTTTGTAGGAACCCCCCCCCCTTTGGTTTTGTTTTTTGTTTTTTTATTATAAAAAAAAAAAAAAATCATGCCCATGGCTGACTTAAAAAAGGTGACCTTACCAACCCACCTAACAAAGATTTTTTTTTCAAATTTTGAGACCCCCCCCCCTCGCTTATTCAGCGGCTGGGTGAGTCGTTGCAATTTTTTTGAGACAAAAAAAAAAAAAAGTGTCCTTTAACCCCCCCACCCCCTGCTTATTCAGCGGCTGGCTGAGTCGTTGCGAAATTTTCGGCCCAATTTCAAAATGTTAAACCCCCCCTCCCCTTGAAAAAATCCTGCATACGCCATTGGCACCCCCCCCCCCCCGGAGGGCCGCCTCTGACCTTATCATTATAAGTTGTATAGATCTATGTAGTTGTACCATTGGCTACTCCTCTATACTGGACAAATACGATGCATTGTGCATTGGCCAAATAAAGTTTTCAAACAGTTCTTTCAGTGAACAACATAATTATCGGTAAAACTACGGATTACTTGAGGAGCATATTTGGCATTCCATACCCGGTGTAAGCTTGGAGGCAAAAAGTGACTTTGTAAGTTTGACTTTTAATTGATGATTTTGCTTATTTAAGATGAACGTTAAATATGAAGTATGCCTGTATTGTGTTATTGGCTAAACTGCCAAACATGAAATGTTTGAGCATTGAATAATGCGTGGAAATAGGTGTTTCAGTAAATATTTTTAGTCGGTGAACCATACAAAAGTCCCATCCGCTTAAATTCGTGTTGGAAATACCGGTAGATCTATCGAGAAAAAAAGAGGGAAAAAGCACTCCAGCAAAGCATAGAGAGTCCATGCTAAAAGTGTGTGGTGGGTGGACTTCCCAGTTCCCACTGTCTATGATGCATAGTCTTCTTCTTCCTCTTGATTAAATCAAAAACGTTATTTACTAGGAATATTTTTCTCTCTCTGTCTTTCAATCAATCAATCTCTCATTTATTAATTTATGACTTTCAGTTTTGTCTTCATGTTTTTTTAATTTAGACCTAGTCTACTTCCTTTTTCTTATCTTATTTTTCTCTCTGCATTTTTTCTTCATCTACCCCTTCAAGTTAATACTACTCTATACTGTTTCCTTCTTGCTTTTTACCCCTTCTTGTTTCTCTTTTCTCACACTTGATCTTGATTTATCTATTTCTTTATTTTCTTATGAAGAAGAGCTGATCCTTTTGTTCAGCTTTTATTTCCCCCTGTACTTCCTTGTTCTAAACTTCTATTCTAGTAATTAAGAAGACTGGGTTATTTCTGTTTTTTAAAAAACTTTTCAATGAAGTCTTGCTCTTTTGGCTATTTTACTAGTTCTTTTTTCTTTCAGTTCTGTATATGCTTTTATTTCTTCGTTGTCCTATACTTATATTTTTCATTCTCAATTATCTTAATAATTATATCTCCCTTCTTTTCTCCTCTAGACCCTATTTCCCCTTTTCTTAAAGTTGATACTCTAAGACAATCCCAAATACTGAGATAATTACATAAATAGAAAGCTTTTAACCCCCATAATAACACCAAATGGTGTCCACCCGACAAAACAAGTTTAGAATAATGAATTTATTCGAGTAAACTCTACCAAAATATCTAAGTCTGAAACCCGGAAGTGCACGTAGAGTCGGGCCTCTGTCCGTGACGTCACGAACGGGACTCGTGGGCTCAGTGAGAGTGAATGGCAGTGATATTCCTACGTAAATGCTATCCTGTCAGAGCTTAGATTTGTTGTTGTTAAGGAGTATATTTGATGGATTTTCTGTTTTCATTTGAATGAAGAATAACGAAGCAACATTTTCCAGTCGCTGATTTCTTTTTATATCCTCATATTTACCTATTTGATAGAGATTTAAGACGAGTTTACTGCTTAGGAATTCAAGTTAAATCGTGCACGTATAATAGGATGCATTATATTGTCATCAGAAAAGGTACAGGAGCAGTTTTGTAAAACGAATAGGTCTAGAACTATGATAGTACTTATCATAGACGTGTGTGACTGCCTCAAAAAAGGATAGTTAAACATTTTATGTTGTGAAATATCAAACTTGAACGAGATCATGCAAGCGCGCTTCCTCTATAATATTTTGGCGAGTGATGCGGCTCTTGCATGAACGTTCGTGACGCGAGCAGAATCGGGAGGTAAGACCAAGCCGCTGCTCTAGGCGCTGCTTGCTTGTGATGGAACGTACGTGCGCTAGTTATATGTTTATCGGCAATTGCAAGAGAATGAAAGCGACGTTGCCAGCTAAGAAAAACAACTAACAAAGACTTGCTCCTGACTACCGGTGTCAGAATTGGTAGATGAAGGATCTTCAGGGCCAAGGAAGGCGAAAGACACGGGAAAAAGAAAGAAGAATCCATCGGGAGATCGCTGTAGTGTATGGTAATGAACTGTGCATGGGTAGACAGCTACTGTTCACTCCGTGCCTGGGCCGATTTCAACACCACGTGACGCGAGCAGAATCGGGAGGTAAGACCAAGCTGCTGCTCTAGGCGCTGCTTGCTTGTGATGGAACGTACGTGCGCTAGTTATATGTTTATCGGCAATTGCAAGAGAATGAAAGCGACGTTGCCAGCTAAGAAAAACAACTAACAAAGACTTGCTCCTGACTACCGGTGTCAGAATTGGTAGATGAAGGATCTTCAGGGCCAAGGAAGGCGAAAGACACGGGAAAAAGGAAGAAGAATCCATCGGGAGATCGCTGTAGTGTATGGTAATGAACTGTGCATGGGTAGACAGCTACTGTTCACTCCGTGCCTGGGCCGATTTCAACACCAAAACAAAAATTACATGGTGAAAATATCGACTAATAGCACATCGTTGGCATGTATATGTCATAATTTTTAAAAGGGGAATTGATATTAATACTATGAAGTACTAGGGGAAGGTAAAGAATTGTACATAGAATTATGATTTATTAGACTTTTCAGCCTTTGAAACAAAAATATGCAGAAAATCGTATCACTCTGCACATGTTTGCTATGGAACATCCGGGTACGTGAATATACTCTTTCCCGGACGTGAGGTCATAAATAGTAGACCAGCGCCGTGACTGATTTTCTATGCAAAGAGAGGCGGATATTTTCGACATTTCAATTGAGGATTTCGAGTACCGGTAGACAGAATTTTTTTGTGATATACTAAGTAATTGAAAAACTTAAAAATAACATATACTTGCCGTAGGTAACAAATTAAGGGACATTTATTTGCTTAGAGTATCAACTTTAATTGTTCTCTATCCACTATATCTAGTTAATATTATATCTTTATTCTTAATCATGTATTTTACTTCCTTTAATTTGTAGAAAGAGTCACTATTAATTCATTTTCTTTTTTATCTTCTATACTGAGCTGGTGACAATATGTAAATCATGTATTTAATTATTTGTCTCTATCAATTAATTATTTTGGGGTGAATTTTTTTCTCTCTATTTTTTGGCATTTTTATGTTTTCTTTTCATTTTGTCTTCTTTCTGTTCTTCTCTTCTCTTTTCTTTCTTACTTGTGTTTTTGTGATTTTCCCCAGGGCAGCATTTTATGAAAATATTTTAAGTACAAGTTCACTGACATCCCATTAAAGAGCATACTAATTTAACACCCATTTCAATCAATCAATGTGGGTGAACTTGTACTTGTAGGTTTCATGTATCAATGGCCCACTTTCTAATTTTACTTCAAGTTCATTTTTCATTATTTAATCTCGGAATGATAATTCTGGTGATTATAGTTGTACTACTGTAAGTTAATCCATTTTAAATGAAACATAGATTTACATGTGTGTTTGATTCACATTTATTCTATGATTCGTAGATGATAAACAAGCAAAACTGTAAATTCTAATATGACTTTTTCTCTTCTACCTAGCAGGCGACGGGTCAGGAGGTTTGGGGTTTATTCCGTGGTATTGCCGGGGTGTGTTCCCAGAGTTCTCTTCATCATGCCTCTCATGATCGATGGGAAGCTTTACCATCCCAAGGAGAATGTTATGCAGTTGGTTAAGGATTATCCTAAGTTTCAGGTAAGGCGTACTTTCACCTTGATTAAAATTAGAAAGAGTTGTTTCCCAAAACCTCCATTGCAATTTGAAATGGAGGCAGCTAAATGGGACAATCAATGAACTCCAGACACATTACATTATTTGATTTATTTCCTTTGAGGTGGAAATTATTATTTTTTAGTAAGAAACTGATTTGTAAGAAATGTGTTATGAGCTTTGTATTTGTTAGACAATTCAACATCTTGAGGAAATAGAATTTACAAATAGTCCACCAGTACTCCTTTTAACATTTTGATATGATATGAATGAAAGTATGAAAACCTCCCTTCACCCCCAAAGATTCAAAATTCCAAGTCTTCATGCAATTAAATTTGTTTATTATATCTGATGGTCTTGAGCCAGAATGACCTACTTGCATGTGTATCTATCGTGTGGCTTTTCTAAAAGTAATCCTACTTTCATAGTTGCTATTCCTGAGCCATACCTTCAAAGGTTCATATATACTCATCAGTATTATTGGAACCAGTGCTCATTCATACCCCCCCCCCCCCAAAAAAAAGGTATTTTATGTTTCTGACTTGGCAATAGACCAAACTTAGGGTTCATGATTTAGACTGTTACTCTACACACGTTTCATTATCTTCTTGAAGGTTGAAGCAGCCGCTTTCTGCAGCAAACCATTACGCCATTGTGAAGCCCTAGACCTTCTCTATGTGAATCAGAGAGAATATGCTGTCACTATTCCAAGTGATAGTGAGTATCTTGATTTGTTGTTTTGTTATGTTCATCTATGAATTTATGTATTTGTTTGTTCTATGTCCTTAATAAACACCATGATGAAAACAGCTTTACTGATCATGTTTTTACCCTGTATAAATATGTTTCAATACGAAAAAAGATATCCTAAATAAAATCTTATCCTAAATATACTTAAGCTTAGTTCTCAATGCATTTAAGGAAAACTGATATTAGGATAATATTAGTGGAACACAAGTGATCTCTGTTAGAGGGTTGGTTGTTCTCCAATAAGTACATACTCGAAAATGAGTTGGTTCATTACTGTTTTTATTGATTGTTTTTATTGTATGTTACTTAGAAGTTAAAATGGAAGTACCTTCTCCCTGTGAAGAAGCTCTAGGGAACCTCCAGCTTTTAGTCCTATCCATGAAACTAAGTAATTGGGGATGAAAGTCCTACCAAAACAATGAAATTACACTGACTTGGTATTTAACCTGAATTAGACTGGGTCCAATATGATAGCTCCTTCAATTGACTGGGCTATCCTCTGTTAAACCAAATTCTGAACTTTTGACACTGGACCAAACACAATACCTAACCTTTACCCTAACCCTAAATCTCACCTGAAACCTTTTTGCAACCCCACCCCACATCCTATGTCATTGAAAAAATAAAACAAACTAACCAGTCATTGCCTCAGCTTGTGTCAGAACCTCTAGTGATGATTTATTCTGTTGTTTACAGGTGTTGTTAAGGTCCTGGGTTCTGACGATGCCACTACTTGCCACATCATTGTCCTGCGTCACACAGGGAGCGGAGCCACAGCCCTGGCTCACCTGGACGGCCATGGTATAGAGGGAGGTATCAATAGCATGCTTGCCTCCATCACAACACTCAGTACTGGAAGCAGCGACGGCAGGCAAGTACTGTATCTTAACCACTACTGTGCAACAAAGTTTTTAAAAAACATTTTTAAAATAAATAAACCTTTAAAGGGGAACCCAAACTTGGTGGCAGACTTCTCTAGCAGAAAATCAGAGAAGCATACTGGTGAAAGTTTGAATGGAATTGAACAAAATTATGAATTTTTGACAGTTGCAATCAACATAGATATGGGCTCTTCAAATCGGCTGAATTGGTAATGTCTCTGTGATGTAGTGGTGGACAACTCTTGTTCCAGCACACAAAATGACTCAAACTCAAATTTTTCAAAAATTCAGGATGGTCTTTTCTTTTTAGAGGACCTGTAATAATATACTCTCCATAGTGAAGGCACCTGGTCTGATTTATTTCAAACTTTTGTCATTTTGTTTATCTTATGTTTCTACTTTCATTCAAATGAACTTTAATTTCAAGGGTTGGATTGCCCTTTAAAAGTAAATTTGTCAAATTCAAAGCTTTTAATCTTTTTATTTTATCATTTTGATATTTCCAAAACATCACTGCATACAACAATTGTTATGTACTAATGGTATATGGAATCATCTTTTCCTGAGTGATTTCAGATGGTTTCTTCATTGTGGTAGTTTCATTACCACAACTCAACGATATCTTAAATACACTATGTCTGGATTTTCTATTCATCATCATGCCCTTGTCTCTACTTTTCTTCAGACCCTATTTCTAATGAACGTTCATATTGGAGGTATACTCTACATAAACAACTGATTAACTTTATTTTTTGTTTTCTTTACTAATGTAGACTAGAACTACACATCTTTGGGGGCTTCTGTGACAGCCGAGGAGAATCAATAGAAATATCAACAAATGTTTTCAGTGAGTATGAACTTATATTCATAAGAAGTGCATCCCATCACTTGCAGAATTCTGTATTGTGATACCAGTATATATTTGTATTGCTCCATATTGAGTACAAAAAGTAGAATTCCAGAATATGAAGATATTACATACTACATGAAATACATGTATTTCAAATTACCATAACTGCTATTTAGTAAAACTCATCACAAGAGCTTACCTCAAACACTCTGGGGAAAATATGACAATTTCATACATTTTAAATAGCTTTAATGATGTACGTATCAGTTTGATTGATGCAAGAATGCTATCATTATTAAAAGGTAATACAAAGTTTTGGGAAATTTTAAAATTGGCCGGATATTGATTCTTTAAAATATTGATATATTTGGATGCCCCTGAGGATGTATTATAAGCACTAGAAAAATTAGCCTCTAAAACACTTCTGCTTTCAAGACAAATTGAATATAAAAATTTACTGGTGCTCTTGGTAAATTTTGACAAATTTTAAATAGCTTATACGGCAATCCAATGTTAGCTGCAACCATGAAAATCTCAGAATATGTAGTTGTGATATATAATTTCCAACTGGGAATAGCAAATCGGTCGATTTTAGTCAAGAAACATTGTTTGCTAAATTAATATCTTGACCTTGTGAGGGAGCTATACAACATAAAGATTTTATTATTTACAATTTCATCACTTTAGACTCGATTTCAACCGCGACAACAATCACTGAATATTGAAGGATCGCATAAGCCTCCAATATGTTCATTTGAACCGAATTCATGACCCCATACCAAAACTTTGTATCACCTTTAAGGTTTTTGTAGATAATGTCTATCTCCATTGTTTGTTTATCTCTGCATTATAGCAGTTTTGTATTTTTATGATGTACATGTAGTATGTACATGTATGTAGTGTATATAATGTAAAGAAAAGAAGCGCTTTACAAATTTACAGTTGCCTTTTCTCTCTTACTTTATGCAGGTATATTTCACAATTGTGTACATGAGGTTCACCTTGTTACGGCATGCATGTCAGGTAATACACTTATAACTACTTTGGGACTTTTCCTTTGTAAAGAAATTGCATCTGATAAACAGGAACTCAATTTGTCAACTTTATTACACAGTATTATAAACAGTGCTATATATATGCATCACTTTACTTGACATGCATATTCATGATAGAAATGGGGGAAAAAACATGAAGCATATGCAGTCGTAAGGCTCATAATAATTTTAATCATCAATCATATCATTTAAAGGGCAATTCAACCTTTGTAATATTTCATTTGTGTGAAAACGAAAAATTCGAAAATCAGAATGGTTGAAGATTGAAATTAAACCGACTATAATATAATTATAATTAGACAGTTATGAGTGTTTGAAATGTGAGATCACTAAAGATGTATGAATTTAAAATCAGCAATTTGGGTACTGGATTGTAATGTAGTCGTGGAAAACTCTCCCATTTGTCATGTACAAAAGTATGATGAATTTTTTTTCTTTCCTAAGCACCTTCTGCCATTAGGCACTACTTAAAAAATATTGTGGATAGCATATTATTGGAAGGTTCTTAAAAGAGAAAAGACACTCCCAAGTCACAGATTTTGAAGAAAAAAAATTGACATTTTAGTCATTCAAGTATTAGAACAAATGGGAGAATCGCCCGGCACTTTGTCATAGTGACATTACCGATTCTGCTACTTTGAGGTACCATTCGTTTAATGACTACAGCTTTCAAAAGTTCACTATGGGTTCATTAGGGTGGGATTTTCCTTTAGAAAAGGACATTTTTATCATTACTTATGTTGGTTTGTTGGTATTGAATGATGCATGTATTGTATACATTAAACAAAAAATTAGATAGTGAATTATATATTGACTTGGTTAAAATGTGGTTTCTTTTGATAGATTTGAATGATACAGTCAAGGATGGTATACACTGGCCAATACTCTATGGTGTAGGTAAGTTGAAGGGCCATTGTTCTTTTTTTTTTTGGGGGGGGGGACCTGTTCATTCGTGTATTTTGTAAGCAATGAAAACTAAATTACTAAGTTACTTTAGATATTTAATCAGATTTTTCAGGTTTCAAAGTTTTAAAGCAATAATTGTACTGTATCTTAATATGAAGTGTCACAAATACCTTTTATGAGAGGTTGGGTGAGGGGTGAGGGGGAGGGGGGGGGGGTAGATATCTGAATTTGTGAAATACATCTCTGGCAAATTTCATCATGAGCTACCATATATAGTACCATTGTAGATTATGATTATGACCGACCATGGTCATACATTTCAACAATTGACTTTGACAATTGGTATCAATTGGCATAAAAATATCTGGGTTTTTTTCTTAAAGAATGGTCAGTTTATTTACTCATAGATTCAAGTTCCATTCACAAAAACTTACAATAGAACATAGGAATCTACTAACAGACTTTATATGGTATCAAAGTATCTATGGATTCAACTTGTATTACCCAAAATGTAGTTGTCTGAAGATGATTAGAGTTATCAAAGATGGCTTTAATACTGGCAACACTTTCAAGCCATGATTTACATTTGTACATATTACTGATACATTTTTTTCTTACACAGCCGTCAATGTCAAAAGCGGAGAGATCTTTCCAGCATCCTTTGCTAATAAGGGTCCTGACAAACCTTTGAGAAGCGTCTACACACTGTTTGGTAACCATCATGTAAGTCCACCATAAACTACTTCTCCATCTGTGTACTGTCAAACCAGACACTTTTGTGTGCATAAATTGCTTGCAAAGTTCTCAAGTTTTCAGATTTGCAAAAGTTTCATGCCTCTAAATGATTCAATCACAATTGACACTACACTGAATTTTTTTAATTGGCAAAATTTATTGCTGTAAAGTTGCCGTTGTTTCCAAATCACAACAATTTCATAGCTCTTAAGGTTCGGCTTTTACCATACACTGACAGGGGAATTCCACTTTAGCATCAACATTTTATTAAAAGTGGCAAAATGAGAGAAGTAGAGAAAAGGTTTTGAGAACAACTTGTGATAAGAAAATGATTTGAAGTGTTAAAAGTATTGATTAATGAAACATAAATTGGCGACTCTTTATCTTATGGTTAAAATCTTTGGACATTTCAATGTTACGGTCACGAGACATCAGATCCTGGCATTATTCCAAAGGTATGAATAACTCAATACAGTTTAGAATTTGAAATTTGTTTCATAATTCTGATGACAGCGTGTACCTGTATAGTGTTGCACCTACAGGGGGCATGTGTCTCCACCCCCTTCCCCAACAAAAAATTGAATTGTGAAAAGTGGAAGGGGTATAAAAGAGGAAAAAGGAGCGAAAGGAAGGGAAAAGGAAAGGGGACATGAAAAGATGATAGGACCCCTTTCAAATCATCCCCCTCATCAAATGGCCTTCTTAATTCATATGTCATCCTCTTGGTAAAGTTGTGCACCCACCCCTCAATCCCTCAATGCCTTGGGATGTGTATGTCTAATAAATTCAGCTCATTCAAGATTTGCATGTCAAGTTAAGATTTTTATGCCTCCACAACATAGAATATATCTTGCATATACTTGAAGGCCACACCTCGCCATCGGAGGCATATTTTTTATTTCAAGAACCGATTGATGGATTCCCACCAAACTCAGGTCATGCATGTATATTGCAAAGCCAATGAACTGATTAGATTTTGGGGTCACGAGGTCAAAGGCCACACAGCCCATTATGTATGCAAAAATAGTTTGTGATCGTGTTATCTCAAGAATTGATTGATGGATTTCGGTTAAATTTAGGTCATGCATGTATCTAGCAGAGCCAATATACTGATTAGATTTTGGGGTCACGAGGTCAAAGATCAAAGGGGTCATACATGTATAGGAAAAATAGCGTGATTTTGATTGAAGGATTTTATTGATAATTATCCATTCTCGCAGTCCAAAGACTGAATTGCAATGGTTACAAAAGTTTACAATGTATATACATGATAAAAGCAATTATATAATAATATATTAAAACAGTCTAGGCAATCAACATTGAAATACAAATAAAAGTGATCAAATGACAATTATAATGGCAACTATCATTAATTTCAATTAATAATATATAAGCATGACATTCTTAACTGAAACATTCTAAAAATATACTATTGAAATTAATCATTAAAACCATTACTATTACGAATATGGCATGCCGAAGGGTTGATTTTTTGTCATTGGTAAAACATATTGGTAATCTTGAAATTGGATTTCATGATGGATTAAGAAATAAAGTGAATTACATTGCAAATTCGCGAAGAATATTGAAATTTGTTGATAATAAAAAAATTAAAATAAACATATTGCACTGGCTAAATACTAGGTGTTCGGTGTGAATTCATTAATATTCAAGTATTACTTGTTCTATAAAATTCAATGCTATTACTATACATTTTAAATCACAATTGAATATGGAATAATTGAAAAAAATTGATTTAAAGATTCAATGATTAAATACCTATTGGCTAAGTACTAGGTGTACGGTGTTAATTCATTAATATTCATGTATCATGTGAAGCCCAGTACTGTGATCATACACATTACGCATTACGCGTGTAATATTCTGGGAACCTGTTAATGGATTACAATCAACCTTTAATTTTAAAAATTGCTTCTGTTTTGGTTTGTAAAATCGCTCTGTGGCGGAGGTATAATTTTTGAAGATCCATATAGTTTCTTGATTTTCATCATTTTCTGTACAACTATTCTTTCACTTACAGATGCGTAATGTGTATGATCACAGTACTGGGCTTCACATGATCAGTCCGTTCACCTACAGGGCAATGCCTTACATTGGCAACTGGCTCCTCCAACCAGACTCTTTCATCAGAGAGGTGAGTTCACATCCCTTAGGACCTGTTCACACATGGGGCTGTAATGATTGCCCCCCCCCCCCCAAAAAAAAAAACAAACAAAACAAAACAAAACAACAACAACAACAACAACAAACAAAAACAAAAACAAAAACAAAAAAACCACCACAGACAAACTTTGTAAATGAATTGCAAGAAGCAATGGTTTGGCAAATCTTTACATACACTTATCTACTATCTACAATTTGTGCTGCAAATGAACCAAAAAATGTACAGCATTTGAATGTGGACTCATGATATTTTAGACTCAAGAGGCCAAAGGTTATGGTCATAATGGTAACATTGTGCTTGCTTGCTCCTCCATGCAGCACCTCTCCACATCACCGGAGGTTGAGCCTCCTTACTTTGAGGAAGGTATCCGGGATGCCATCCGATGGGTGACCAACCATCCCCACCCCACCCTCACCGTCTTCCCTGGCAATAAACCCAGGGTCTACACCAAGAACCAGCAAGGAGAGTGGATGGATTATTGCCCCCCGCAGACAGCCGATGATCTGTCGTCAACGATGCCAACATCGTCTTGATAGCAACGGTGTAAGTTTGCTGCAGTGATGTGAAATCACATTCTGTTGTACTTGGAACTCTCCAATGTGTAGTCTGTCTGTTACAAGGTATATTTATTGAAATATGTATATTTGAATTATGTATTTGAAGTTAGACCAAAACCATTGTGCTTGTGTGTAAATTAGGCCTCATCAAGTATGTTTATATGATAGAATATGCAAAATAGAATATATGATCATACTTGCTTGAGATCTTATGTGAATGTAAGCTCATATAGGTGTCAAAATACATGTATAAGCAAATCAATATCTAAACTTGATTATTCAGTAGATAACTGATCAAGTTTTATGTGGAAATTAAATAGATGTCAGTCTACAGATCAGTTTTATCCTCCATGTTATAATGACATTCATCTTGACAATAATTATATTTATGACAATAGACAAATCATATACCCTTTAAATAATTCTAAAGAGGTATGCATTAATGAACTAATAAGAGAGAAATATACTATTTGTCTAAAGGCCAAACTAATAATGTGGAAATACATGTATATGTAGGCCATAATTGTAGACTGTATTAGTAGCTATATGCCATGTGAATGCTGTAACTTGAATGTGTGTGCCAAAGGAAAATGAAAAGTGTTAACAAAAAAAATATATAGGTGAGTACCAGCAGTGGGGATATACATGCAATATAAGGCATTTTCTCAGAAAGGCAGAGTGTGTGGATTGCTAGGTAATAAATATGTGCATAGTGTGTGACTTAACTACTGTATATCATCAAAGAAAGAAGGAAATCATTGCATGTTATTACCAAAAATATGTGATTGTTGTAATAATATATTACGCGGCTGTCAAATTGCATTTATATAACCGATGCTGTCATCTTGTGAGACTTGTGTGAAACACATCTTGAGCAGTATACTGGTGTATGTATATCTTGCCTCATATATTTTCATTAACAACAAAAAGTATGTATACCACTACATGTCAATTGTATCAATGCATGTTAGACACAGTGAAACTGTGGATAATTTACAGTAAGAAAGCTAGGTGTTGCATTGTTTTAGAGTCAGAAGAAAGTAACGTTTCATGCTGTTTGAATTTGACTTGAGCCATGTCTTGTAATGAGACACAATTATTCTGAATCAACTGCAAATCATCCAAGTATTTGTGAATTTATTTGAAATTGAGTTAGGAACGGTCCATTTTGATACATGGTAACATTCGTTGAAAACCCCAAATTTTGTTACAACAATTTATACTTCTACCAGCAAGCCTAACATTCTTCGCTAATGCTCTAATGGCGGACTGATGGATATTAATACGTCGGAATGAGTCAGGAGAGCTGAGATATTGGACCAATGATGTCTCTGCCCGCAAGCAGTAGATGTTAGGTTTAAATCCCACTGGTTCCAAGATTTTTTCTGACTTGTTTTTAATTACAAGATCAAGCATGCAATCTTTATTTACTGGGTGCAAGCCAAAAATCTAATTACAGCAAGTAGTAAACACTGCTAGACAGGGCTCCACTTACAGTTCATGCTATTATGCATCATCAACCTGTGTAGAAAGGCCAGTTGCATCCACATGGTATGGCTATGTGGAAGCAGATTTATGTGTTACAATACTTGCCAGACTAGCATGTAGCCCATTATTAATGATCTTAATACACAGGTTTCAGATGTATGGTGGCTCCTTGGTAGAGCAGTGGGCACATATCTGGGAGGTACCAGGCTGCTTGCTTACAATGTACTTCACAGTCAAACCTGTCTATAAAGGCCACTCAGGGGAAACAGAAAAAGTGGCCACTATAGACAGGTGGCATTCCTATGCAGGTTCTACAACACACACTTGTTTCTAAAGGGAGACAAGATGTCATTATAGACAGGTGGCCTTTAAAAAGATGTGAACACTATTAAAGACAGGTTTGACTATATGTCATCAGCCAAGAGCCAGATGGGTATTACCGTAACTCCATTTAAAGCGTTAATCCTTTACACTCTTCTGGATTACTAATTGACATAGGCATGCATGTAGTTATTTATCTCTCTGTCTCATATAAATCTTTTAAATTTGTACCTTAATATACAACTCATCTTGAAATGTGAAGCACAAAAATGCTCTTGATATAGACCTTATTTCATACTATGCTGCATAGAGGGATTGTTATGTTCATGTTGAAAGGAAATTGTTAGTACTGTACTCCCTCTTTCAACTACATCTATTGGTAGTATCTTCCAAATTCATGTAATTTGTTAGTAGTTTTTAGCATAACTGCAACTTATACGTACCGTACAGTATATGTTTATTTTATTTTCCAGGCTGACTGACGGTGTGTCATCGATGGTTTCATTGCTTTCTTTTTGTGGTATTTGAAGTTGTGTTGTGAGAACTGTCCAACCAGAAATCTTGTTTTATTTTGATACAATTTATTCTCAGAGCTCATCTGAAAATGAATTTGAGAAGGGTCCACTGCCTGACCATAAAATGAAACCATTTATTTGGTCTTATCTAGATTTTCACAGACTTATTTTCACCCAAACCATGCCTTAGAATCCAAGACTATTGAACAAGAACTCTCTTTCAGATATTCAGTTGTGCTATGGGCTTAATATTATCATAACCTGCTTTATAGAGCCAAGACCAGTTGGGCATTTCTGACTTGAATACCCAACCATTTTGAAGTACAAATTTGCATATTCAAACAGGAAGATTTACGTGGCTTTGTGTTAGTTGTATTTCACTTCTACCTGTGAAAGTTATTATTATTATTTTTCATTTTTCATTTTTTTTTGGGGGGGGGGGGATTTGAAGATAATCAAAAACTGGTTTAATTTGCATGTGTGTTGTGCAAAAATTAATCAAGAATCACCAATCATGATCTTATTAAATTTGTGGATTCATAGCTTATTTTGTTGATTAATTTTCATGTAAACTTTGTCATTATTAATGAGATTTTATTGTTCATCATTAAATGAATACAATTTGATATTGTCATAGTCACTCACACTTATCTCATTTTTATGGTAAAGTCAAACCTGCTTTAATGACCAATTGTCTACAAAGACCACATTTTTTGTTTCCCTGGAATTGGTTTCTCATTGAAACATGTACTAAATATATCTGTCTACTAAGACCACTTTTTGTGTTTGACTGTAGTCAGAAACTTTGTTGATTTTAGTTTTAAAATTGTTTACGTTAAATCTTCATTTGTCAAAAATATATTTCATTATTCTCAATTTTATGAATTTGTTCGTGGTCAACATGTATTGTAGACTATTATATCATTCTTTCATTATTGTACATTAGTAGAATCATATGCAACAGGATAATTAATTGATTTATTAATCAAATTATGCAATTGATGTCTAGTGAATTGAAAGTCGGGTTCTATTGGTTTCTTCTTATAAATGCCTTCCATGCTTGCCTTTGTATATTTATAAATTTTGCTTCTCAAAATCATATATTTTTCAAATCATGAGATGCGACTAGAGCTGTTTCCTAGAAACCTTACTTTTTAGTCAATCATCATTTTGAATACTGTTGCACGTATTCATTGATCATGATACTGGCAAATAATTACTAGTTGCGGGGAATTATAATAATATGTCGATTTGTTAAATGACATGCCACTTGGATCAACTATCTATAGAGAATGATCACAAGCCAAATAATCTCTCTACAACTTTGAGTGCTATACAGGAACCCACTATTATTATTATTGAAGGTGAGATTGTGGTAGACATGTTGATGTACCCAGGCATATTCATGGAAGTTGACTGACCAATGCAGAGTTAAAACTCCTGAGGGTAGTGGGTTTTTGTTGTTGTCTACTGACAATTTTGGGGGTGCTTGGTCCCCTTATGGAAAAAATGTCAATAAATTTAATTTTGATGGTTGAGTTGGCAAACATGATCTTACTCCTAAACCTAGAAAAATATATGTAGGAAACAAGTGATAATGGACGAGTATAAGTTGTAAGGAGTGCTTCTTTGTCTTTCACGATATAAATTCGCATGAATAAAAGTATGAATAGCTATTGCAAATTATCTTGGAAATGCCTCGTCTGTTCTTTTGTGATAATCCCTACATTAGAAAAAAGTTTGGCGGGAATCCATCAATTGGTTCTTGAGATAACGCTATCACAAGAACGGCACGTACGGACATACGTACAGCTGTACGGACGGACAACCAAAAAACTTGATGCCTCCGGCTAATTTGCAGCTAATTTGCCCATTGCCAACATTCTAAGCTAATTTATTTGGCTTTGAATAATTTAGTATTATTTATTAGATATGTTTTCGAGCAAAAAACAAACAAACTTGTATTGTTAATGCAATCCAAACATTTAAATTGCACAGTATAAGAGCTGTGGTGAGAACTGGGAGATACACAAATGTGACAACTACAAATAATATACACAAATCTTTGCTTGAAAATAATTGGCACTGATCATAATATATTCTTGTCAAAATATACACAAAAATTCAAAATGAAACAATTTCATTTTAATATAGTGAATACATGAATATTTTCATGCAATTTATGATGTCATTACAACCCCATGCAATCACTGACTGTCTTGGTGATGTGAGATATTTGTTGAATATCCATATAAGTACACATATTACAATAAACATACTTACATGTATGTCCAATCTGACCCATCACTACTACTAACATGTATTGCACAAAATGTCCTTGCAAGAAAAAAATCATACTGCATATTAGAGTACTACCAAGTACATTGTGGCAACAGAATAGACTTTACCATGTAACATAGCTAAAGAAAGTGATAAAATACTGCATGCAATTTATCTATATCTACTATGCCTCATGAATTTGGAATGGTCAAAACACTAAACGAATATGCACTAACATGATGCTCTTAAATGAAATACGGTAATCGAATTCTCTACCACTAAAATTAGAACAATAAACAAATTAAAAAAGAAAAAAGCAAATTTCTCCACAATCATAATCTCTTCAGTGGAAATATCAATCTCAATAATTTGTCTAGTCTATAAAATTCTAAAATTGGCAAAGATTAAGCATTTTGTCAAGTAACATGGTATGATTCGACTGTAGTACAATGAGGAGAAATAAAATTGTGGAATGAAATCATTCTTCTCACCTCTCTAAGGCACAGGATTCATCTCCATCATTATTTTCATTTCAAGATTTTGTTTAGTTACATGTATTCTAATTTTTTTGTAAATATCAACTGATCCTATAGTATATGCAAGCAAAAAACACAGCTCACCCAACTAGCCCTAGATTGCATAACAACTGCTAATAGAAGAGAGAAAGAGGCGATATCTTTAGGTATTTCTATCAAAGCATCCAAAACCTCAACACTTTTGCTCTAATATACATGTAGTTGGTCTACCAGGGTCAGAACTCAGGAGGCCTGGAGGTGTTTCACAAAGATCTTAAGTTGAACTTGCCGCTCTAAGTTGGACTTAATAATTATGGAAAGCCGTTAGCATCTATGAAAATATTTGGCAAAAGCTATTTTAAAAGGCATCAAATGTTAAAGGTAAAGACCAGTATTGGAAACGCCCCAATTTCAAAAAATGAAATGGAAGCTCTCATTACCAATCATGTGAAAGAATATGTTTTGACTAATACATGATGATAAAAAATTTGCTGGGAAACCGCCTACTAATTCATATATTTGGTAATTTTGTTTCTCTCATGGTCTGTGAGAGATATAGGGTAGTCCCATATACATCTTTCTGTGTATAGTGCTTGTAACTTTATGAAGAATGGGCCAAATTTCTTATCATTTTGATGATTCCAGAACCTTGCAGATGCTAGATGCTAGATGATCAACCTTTTCTGATCGATATTCCACAACGTTTCTTTCACAATGCAATCGCATGACCATAACTGGTCTTTACCTTTAATTCAAATCATTCATATTTTCTATTATCAAGGAAATGACATGTTCTTGATGTAGAATTTATAAAAAGTCTAAAATACTTGACTTTTCGCCTTTGAATATATTTGTTTATAAGGCTACAAATGGCTTTCCATAACTTTTAAGTCCAACTTAGAGTTAAGTTTGACTTGGGATCTTTGTGAAACACCCCCCCATTAAGTCTTGACTTTCACTTTCATATGTCAAGTAAATGAAATATGGTTCTGGACATTGAAGGTATGGAAGTCAAGAATATCACATTATTCTAAACAACTCTACTTAACTGAGGAGAAAACAGAGGTTGTATGACACTCACTCTTATGACAACTGCTCCATGTCAATGTTCCTACACTAACCAAATCTTAACTTCAACTCTGGACCCTAACCCTCCTAGTGAGTGCTAGAAAATCCTGACAATATCAAAGGCAATATGAAAACAGAAATAAACAGGCTGAATGCTATGCCATTGTACATGTTAAAGACTATGCCAATAACATGTTAGTTTACATTGTGTTCTTGTAGAAAAGTTTTCAAGGTTCCATCGTTCCAATTGGTTCCAAAAACGCGTTTATACAGCATAAAAGTAAATGGAAAAAAATCTGTGTAATATTAATCAGTAAATAGAGGTCAGTGCAAAGCAGTAACTTTAACTAATGTAACATCTTCACCTCTAAATGTCAATTATTAGACATACATATGGCACAAAATATGTATGCAAATAGAATATGTGCCAAGGTAAAAAAGTATGAAGTCCATACAAATTTAGCAACATAATTAGAAGAATGAAAGAAGAGATGGTGATTAGAATGGGGAGGGGGGGGGGGGGGGGGGGGGGGGGTGGGGGAATGGCATACTGTCTGTTTAGAGTCAAAAGGGCATTGACTCAGGGTCAAATCATATGAGTTTATACCCTTTCTGGCTTCAAGAAGATGATATGAAAAGACTTCTTCATTTATAATAATAATAAGGATAAAAAATACCCAGCTACTGAGCCCCAGGCGATTTATTGCTTTCGGCGAGTTGTAAGGTCATGTGATTGGTCTGTGATTAGCTGCCCATTTTCGGATACTGGATAGCATGCTTCTTGTCGCAGGTGAAAGAGACAGTGATGGCATATCGCGTTCCACTCGTGACTTTCTCTACGAAGTGTGTGTTCTCGGAGCCAGATGTGAAAAATGACAAGCGACCTGGAAGAAAAATTATATAAAAGGAATTCTACAACATTCTGGCAACAATTGCAGCCTAGTCATTTCCTAGTGTTAAATGAAATCAAGAACTTAATACTTTACTTGACCCTAACTCTATCCTTGATGAATAGTCGGGTCAATTCATTGAAAAAACTACCCCAACGCAACAAAAAATTGCCAAGGTATAGACATCCAAAATGGTTATTTAAAGCATACCAGTGACTATCTTGATCTGTAAAACATATCTAACATACATAACATAGGCTTGCGGGTGCACCCGCAAGCCTACTGTATATCTACATCACCATGCAAGCTGACATTTACAAGCAGCATCTAATACCGGTACTTTTAATATTGGTATTAACAGCTTTACCGTAAATAGTAACTCACTTCTAACATAAATAGAACATCCGACCCCCAAAACCTAGATATAGACACCAAAATCAGATCTCGAAAATATATCGCGATTTATGGCCAAGTAAAGTACTGGCGGCCAATTTGAAAAATAACCTATTTACAGGGGTACGATTTTATTGTATTTTTAGTATGTTGTTTCTGATGTCAAACGCTACGGGAAACTGTTGAGAAACATTTTGTTGCATTTTTTCCGTCAAACCTATATTGACCTGATTAGAAAGCCTAGAGGAAAAATTAGATCACCCAAAATAGCACTTTTAAAATCCATGATTCATTTCTCTTTCTCTTCCATCTCAGTCAATTCCTCCTGTGCCACAACATTTCTGAACCATTTCCAAGCCCCCCCTTTTTGTATTGCCAATCTTTGAATTTTGTTGTAATGCCTAATGAAATTAGCTATCTACATCTTGCCAAAGTGCCTTGATGCTTCATCTCTCTGAATAAAATATGTTCAAATCCTCACCTAATTTTGGTTCAACGGTTGAATTTGCTTTATCATCTATGAATACAAAGCGTCCTCCTTTAAAATCTACGTCATAGTCTGTCAGGTAGAGCAGGGATGTGTAGTCAAATGTCTCGTAGGTTTTCTGTTTGAGAAAGAGAGTAGAGAAACGTTAACCATGTATTGCAGACTGGAATGTCTAGTTTCAATGCAATATTGATATGGGTTTGTTGCAACCAGAACTGTTAATTTTCAAAGGGCTATGCATGCAGTCTATCACAAGGGTCTTTGGGAAGATTGCCAGTTGTGTATGCAGGCACAGTAAACACCAGGGGGGTGTTTCACTAAGATTCTAAGTTGGACTTAAAAATTATGGAGAGCAATTTGTAGCCTTAAAATGAAATATATTCAAAAGCATACATGTATATTCAAGTATTTTAGACTTTTCATAAATTCCACATCAAGAACATGAAATATCCCATGATAATAGAAAATATGAATGATTTGAATCAACATTATATGCCTTTTAAAATAACTTTTACAAAATATTTTCAAAGGTGCTAGCAGCTTTCCATAATTGTTAAGTCCAGCTAAGAGATAAGTTCAACTTAGGATCTTTGTGAAACACCCCCCTGGTTTGAGTAATGTAAAATGTGTATAGGGTGTGACTCTCCTACACATGGGGTAATGTCATGGGGCCTCCAGTGAATGTTCTGTCCAAGGAACAGAGTGTTTCCCCCTGAATCCACCTGCATTGAGATCAGAGGGGAGGGGTGCTCTTACACACAACACAGCAACAATCATTTTTGCCTGCTCACTGGGGCACTTGAACCCGTGCACATGACGAGAGTCATGCATGAGAGTCGCATCTTACGCCCCCTCCACCTCCGTCAGTTCTTTGTTTCAGACATAGGAAAGTTTAAGGCTGAAATACAATAGCGTTTAGTCACCTTATCAAGAACTCCATCCCCCCCCCCCCCCAAAAAAAAAAAAAAAAAAAAAAATTACATGCATGGTGAAAGCACAAGAATGAGAGAGAAACAGATAACGGGTTGGAATAAAATAAAGACAATAAGAGAA